GTGTGATTAGCAAGACCTGCCCTCGTTAAGAAAAGTCTTCCACAATTATAGCATGGAATTTCAAGACCGTTGTTGTCAACATTTGTGTTTAGTGTTTTCCTTCTCAGATGCTCAGCTCTCATCCTTTTCGTGGTCAGTTTTTACATCATTCTCATTCCCTTCCTGATGAACTCCATCACATAACTCTGGCCATGGCATTTTGTTCCCACTCGTCCACCTTAGAACCCGTATGTATGGATATCACTCAACGCTCTTGCGAATGTTTGTTGGGGAAGAAAATAGCGGGACTGGTTTCATCAGTTGTCACTGGCTGACGCTTTTCAGAAAACCAAGACATTTGGCAATGGAGCCAAACCACCGCCTGAACCTCGCATGGACGGTCTCTTTCTAAGCATGTGGGGATACATTTCATATGATTTCCAATATACTATTATACCCGCGTGGGTTCTGAGGCCCCAATTTTAGGAGAAACAACAATAGACCCACCACCTTTCCCAAAAAAGCATGTTGTAAGAGTCGACTAACTGGAAGCTTCCTTCGAAGTCGGAATGCGTCTGCCTGAGAGGCAAGGAACCAGATGTGCACGCAACAGGCAGGTTTTGGAAAACGCTAGTGTCTAGAAGTGGACGAACAGCCATGACGTTCCGCATGAGTTTACAGCCGATGAATACAAATAAGAAGAAGAATATATAACTAAATTTGTTTGCCATGCATTTCAAAAATAATAATAGTTACTTTTATGTTATACGATCACATCACGTCGGCTACAACGGGGTTTCCCTGGACAGTACCATATCATAAGGGGTGTTTAGGGTTAGGACTGGTCTTAAATGAATAGCGACTTCTACTAAACCTAAACCCCCACCACCCCCTATACTACGGGCCGTTCTGTGGATTTCCCTAACATATCTCAAAACCGACGTGATGTGGTCGTATAAAATTTAAAACCTGATAAAAAAAATTATGACAACAATAATACTGCTCACTCAAACAAGTGCCAGACCCGTGGGCCACACACCTCAGAAAACTATAGGAGGCCCGAGCTACCCCCCCCCCCCTTTCCCTCTCCAGCCCCTTCAATACACCCCCTCCCCCATGAAATGTTTGCTCCGGATCGCCGCCCCTGTATCTAACTCAGCTCTTGCAAGAACGCCAGCAGCGGCCCAGGTCTGCCCCGAATGGCACAACTCAAAATACGCCATGTTATGTCAATCAAATGTGGCATGATATATAAATCTGCTTCTGGCACACGTGTTGTTTTTTATGCTGGCGCTTCCGTGTAAGGGAGTTTCAGCTGAAAGTGGTTAGGGGCCATAAAAACAGGTCCATTTCTTTACCAGCTGTTGTGCTTACTCATCATCATCATAACCATCATCATCATCATCGTCGTCATCGTCATCATCATCATCATCATCATCATCATCATCATCGTCATTATCATCATCATCATCATCGTCATTATCATCGTTATTATTAAAAAATAATTTCTTCCTGTTCTTTTCGTTATCATTATCAAAGCTATTCCCACCCATTCCATCATCATCAACCATTTAGTTTCTTCTTCTTTTTCCTCTCCTCCCCCTTCTTCTTCTTCTTCTTTTTCTTCAACTTCTTCTTCTTCTTCTTCATTCATAAAATTACCATTCAAATCCTCAATAATGTATCTTTAAGGAATACTATTTTCTGTCGACAGCAAAAGCATACCTCCTCCCCTGCACAGTTCATGGGCAGTGTGCTATCTCTGCGGCGCTAGAGCCTCAGGTTCAAGATACATCCGTCCTATATCGCTCTACAAACATGGGCAGTAAACACAGTCTTAGAAAGACAGGCAGATGGACAGGCAACAGACGTGCATGTAGGTGCGAAAAAACAGTCAAATAAAAAAACAAGAAAGAAAGAAAGAAAGAAAGAAAGAAAGAAAGAAAGAAAGAAAGAAAGAAAGAAAGAAAGAAAGAAAGAAAGAAAGAAAGAAAGAAAGAAAGACAGACAGACCGACAGACCGACAGACCGACAGACCGACAGACAGACAGACCGACAGACAGACAGACAGACAGACAGACAGACAGACAGACAGACAGACAGACAGACAGACAGACAGACAGACAGACAGACAGACAGACAGACAGACCGACCGACAGACAGACCGACAGACAGACAGACAGACAGACAGACAGACAGACAGACAGAGACAGACAGACAGACAGACAGACAGACAGACAGACAGACAGACAGACAGACAGACAGACAGACAGACAGACAGACAGACAGACAGACAGACAGACAGACAGACAGACAGACAGACAGACAGACAGACAGACAGACAGACAGACAGACAGACAGACAGACAGACAGACAGACAGACAGACAGACAGACAGACAGACAGACAGACAGACAGACAGAAAGAAAGAAAGAAAGAAAGAAAGAAAGAAAGAAAGAAAGAAAGAAAGAAAGAAAGAAAGAAAGAAAGAAAGAAAGAAAGAAAGAAAGAAAGAAAGAAAGAAAGAAAGAAAGAAAGAAAGAAAGAAAGAAAGAAAGAAAGAAAGAAAGAAAGAAAGAAAGAAAGAAAGAAAGAAAGAAAGAAAGAAAGAAAGAAAGAAAGAAAGAAAGAAAGAAAGAAAGAAAGAAAGAAAGAAAGAAAAGAAAGAAAGAAAGAAAGAAAGAAAGAAAGAAAGAAAGAAAGAAAGAAAGAAAGAAAGAAAGAAAGAAAGAAAGAAAGAAAGAAAGAAAGAAAGAAAGAAAGAAAGAAAGAAAGAAAGAGGATTTATCCTGTTTGTCATACATCCGCACTGGTCAGTATTTGTACAACCGTATTCAGCCAGGCGTGCCGTCCAATTGCGTTACGCCATCGACAACAACTTCTAATGTCCGCGGCCGAAAAGATCACAGGTAAACAAACACCGGACATCAATTATCCCACCTGTCCGTAAATCAAATGAATCGCCGACCAGGTGAAAAAGCAAACAACTGTTGTTATTGTCTATCAGTTTGCTCACAATATGAAAGATGCTTTTCTATCGCCAGGAATTATGAAAACTACCCCACCATGGTCAGCGCTGTTGGCAATGCATCCTTGGGGTGGCTTTTGTAGGGATATGTCCTACAAAAGGTTGATCTGACAGTAAATGGTTAACTCATGAGAAAATTGTAGAGACTGAAACGAAACCGACTTGTGGGCTCCGTTAACTTCTGATTTTCTCATCGTTTAGATTGGTTTGAGGGGGAGATGTTTAATTTAAAATAAATGTTTGGGAAACCATTTACAAACATGCCTGCAGATGATGAGGGGAAGGGCATCCTTTGATGTTATTGTGAGGAGTACGTCAGCGTACACAACTCAACGCAAGGGGGAGCCGACAAAAGGGAAAGTAGAGGGGAACCAAATAACCTTATTCTGGACTGACGACCTGTGAGATCTACGACTATCCCCACCCAACGACCATTTAAAAAGTAATAATAATAATAATTAACAAAAGATAACTACATTGCAGTTAATTGCGTATCCTTTACAGGACGTTGCAGAATCAACCTCAGCGGGTTGTGTGTGTGTGTGTGTGTGTGGCTGTTGTGGGTTTTCTAGACAAATTTTACGTCAAGTAATTTTCCATTGCTTTCTAAACGGTGATTTCTCGGTACCACTGGCGAAACCAAAGCAAGACGTTTTGCTGCCAATCGAGTACAGATGTGATCGAACATGGCACGCCGACATTACGAAGCGCGTTCACAACATTTAAGCCACTGACGCCGATTTGGCAGCAAACCGCATTGCGTTGATGTCGTCACTGGTATCGAGAATCTAGCGTCTGGTAGCAATGGCAAACATACTGAAGGAAAATGTGCATATAAAAACCACAACAACCACACACACACAATGTTGAGGTTGGTTCTGCAACGTCCTGTGAAGCACACATGATTAACTTTACTACATTAGAAAGTTTTTAAATGGGGACACAAGCAAGGCATTACACAATATATTGCCTGGCATATTTTGCTGTATGTCGTCAAGTACATTACTACAGAGTTAAATCAACATATAATGAACGAACGAACGAACGAACGAACGAACTTTATTTTCAAAGGGTTACAAATTAGGCACGCAGGCCTGTCTTACATTCGGCCCTTCCAAACTTCCATCTTTCACACAGCAGTTGTATTTCATCAATGAAGCATGTTATATTCATGTAATCATATGCATATTATGGATATGAAGTATAATGAAGCACAGAAAGAATCATTTTCTTACTGAAATGCATAAATCACATTGCCGAGTTGCTGCACATCTACCCGCCGGAAATTGAAACATTAGTATGGTCTCAGAACTGACGGTAAAAGGGCTACAAGGTCTAGAGGTCAGTCTCTTCAAGACTCTCCTAAATACAAGGTTTCCAGGCAAAACTTCCGGCCAAGAAACACACTGGTAGAATTCAAACATAGGAGGTCTCTCAGTGAATTAATTAAAAAAGACAGTAAAGTTTGTAGTAGAGACAGCACTGCAGATCCATGTAATTTATTTCAAGCAAACGACAGAAGAAGAAGAAGAAGAAGAAGAATAATAAGAAGAAGAAAGTCTTTTTGACCCTACCATATTTGGCAGAGGGACAGGGTTTGCAAGCCTACTAACTCTTGTGTTGTTGTGTATGCATAAATTGTAAAACATTTTTGAAAAAAAAAAAAAACCAGTTAGAAAAATACTCTACCCACAAACTGTTTGACTTATGAATTGTAAGTCCGAAATGAACTCGGTGGTAAGTCTATGCTTATGTTTAACCCAAAAGTGGCTCCGTTCTACTTCTAACTCAAGTCTAAGTATGAAGAATCTCCGCGCAGTGCACGAACTCTGTTGCTCCCGCGAGGATCCTGAAATACTTTGGGTAGAGATACCTGAGAAAGGTGGTCCAAGTGACAAGAAGGGACAAAGTCCGCAATCAGACAATACGTCAAGACCTTGATACCCAGCCCTAACTAACCCGAGTAGATCAGTCACAGTTACGATGGTTTGGACATGTATGCATAATGGGAGAAAATCGGCCACCATGGCAAGCATGGGAGGCTAAGAACCAGGGAACCAGACCTCCGGGACGACCCAGGGTGCGCTGGGAAGACAACATCCGACAGTCCCTAACTGACAGAGGACTGGAATGGAACAAAGCCAGAAAGAAAACTGCTGATAGAGACGTCTGGCGATCTCTCTGGCAAACCTCTACACCCCAAGGTAGAAGAGGAGCGACTAAGTAAGTATTTTGCCCGGACAGGCCGTTGGGCTACTATTTGCGATTTTCAGCTTCCAGGGTTTTTGTTTAACTTGTCGCAACAATACACACATAGTAATCTTACTATCCAGAGATCCGAAAAAAAATAATAACTAGAATCCACGTGAAAAAATCCTAGCCCTCATCGGGGCTTGAACCCGGGTCTTCAAGCACTCGAGGTGGACACCATGCCTCGAGATCACGCAGCCTTAGATGGCAAGACTATGAGATCATATATGTCAGTAGTGACTGTCACACATCGAAGACTACTTTGACATCCCAGGAACTGTCTTTCTTTAAACGGGAACTGCTCGTCACAAATAGGATGAAACTGTAGCCACTAGTAACGTTAGTCATTCCTCTTGAGTTTAGAGCGGCCCACAGGACAGAGGTCTTAGCTCTCGTTGCCACCTGTTTTAGGTCCTGAGTGTTCATTAGGCCCACGGTTGAGCCTTGCTTGATGATGGTTCTAGGCAAGGTCTCTCTTGGTTTTTTCCGTTTCCCCCCCCCCCTTTCTTTTGTCCATATGGTGGGGGAATCTAGTCTTATCCATTCTGAGTGCATGTTCGATCTAGTATCAGCGGTGCTTTCTTCAAACTGCAGACACTATCTTGCTTGATCTCTTGTCTTATTTGCTTACTGGATGTGAAATCTGTCCAGTGAAGATTTTGTATTCTTTAAAGACATCTGTTCTAAAAATTGTCTAATTGTTTTTTGTTTTTAAATCTAGAGCTACCTCAGTGCTTTCCAACTCTCCCATCCATACGTTAGCACTGGAATCCCACATTACGTAGTTTGCATATAGTGGTCCACTCATATTTTATAGACCAATGGGCGCTAAGTGGGTGACGTGCTTAATTGCTCAGTTGGTGAAGTGCTCAAGCGCTCAGTGAGTGGTGTGCTCAAGCACTCAGTGAGTGATATGCTCAAGCGCTCAGTGAGTGATGTGCTCAAGCGCTCAGTGAGTGACGTGCTCAAGCGCTCAGTGGGTGATGTGCTCAAGCGCTCAGTGAGTGATGTGCTAAAGCGCTCAGTGGGTGATGTGCTCAAGCGCTAAGTGGGTAACGTGCTCAAGCGCTCTGTGTGTGATTAATGTGCTCAAGCGCTCAGTGAGTGATATGCTCAAGCGCTCAGTGAGTGATGTGCTCAAGCGCTCAGTGGGTAACGTGCTCAAGCGCTCAGTGTGTGATTAATGTGCTCAAGCGCTCAGTGGGTGATGTGCTCAAGAACTCAGTGAGTGGTGTGCTCAAGCGCTCAGTGGGTGACGTGCTCAAGCGCTCAGTGGGTGATGTGCTCAAGCGCTCAGTGGGTGACGTGCTCAAGCGCTCAGTGGGTGATGTGCTCAAGCGCTCAGTGGCTGATGTGCTCAAGCACTCAGTGGGTGATATGCTCAAGCGCTCAGTGGGTGATATGCTCAAGCGCTCAGTGGATGACGTGCTCAAGCGATCAGTGGGTGATGTGCTCAAGCGCTCAGTGATTAATATGCTCAAGCGCTCAATGTAAAAAAAAAAAAAAAAAATAGTTCTGTAAAGGTTAATTACAGTTAAGAGCCTTCAGGGCAGCTTCAGTCAAAACATTTAGAAAACATGTTTGCTCTCCGTGTTGTAAACTACGGATGTGAGTCGTTTCACAATCAATTAGGAAGAAAAACTTACTCCTGCAGAATTGCGGTCTCTGGTATTACCAGCTCATTAACAATAACTCAACAAAGAAAGTGAATGGATGTTAACACCTCATTAACAATAACTCAACAAAGAAAGTGAATGGATGTTAACACCTCATTAACAATAACTCAACAAAGAAAGTGAATGGATGTTAACACCTCATTAACAATAACTCAACAAAGAAAGTTAATGGATGTTACTGCAGGCTTTCGCCTCTCAGAAACAACGTTCAAACCACGTTCATTATATTTTTCAAAGTTTAAGCAGCAACTAGTCTCCCCTTACTTAAAAATTGCAATGTTAGAATATTATATTTAATAAATGAAATGCCCGCAACACTTTCTTTCTTTTTTTTTTTTCTGTTTGTTTTAGCCATCAGCGGGTCCGTGGAATATTTCTTGTATTTTCCCGCTCCACGGAATAAGACGCTGCTTCACAAGACTTCCCAAGGCAGCTCCCCCCCCCCCCTTCCACACCCCTCCCCCTCAACAATTGCTGCCTCTATATCATTTTACTCATCGGCACTTGAACCTTGATCTGCAGGAGGGGTGGGTGGCTTTTAAGTTCTCCCCCAGAATGTTTTTAGGGAGCTGTCTGTCTGTCTGTCTGTCTGTCTGTCTGTCTGTCTGTCTGTCTGTCTGTCTGTCTGTCTGTCTGTCTGTCTGTCTGTCTGTCTGTCTGTCTGTCTGTCTGTCTGTCTGTCTGTCTGTCTGTCTGTCTGTCTGTCTGTCTGTCTGTCTGTCTGTCTGTCTGTCTGTCTGTCTGTCTGTCTGTCTGTCTGTCTGTCTGTCTGTCTGTCTGTCTGTCTGTCTGTCTGTCTGTCTGTCTCTCTCTCTCTCTCTCTCTCTCTCTCTCTCTCTCTCTCTCTCTCTCTCTCTCTCTCTTTGTCAGTAATTCTGACCCCCCTCCCCCAAGTCATTGGAAACTTGGCAACGGAGCTTACCGGTTTTCCTTAACAACATACAGACGTTCTCTTTTTAATCACTTTAAAAAATAATTTCAAAATTCGGACCTGTTCACGTTTCCAGACCCATCTATACACTTTCTCAGTCTGATCTCGGTCAGAGGGGTGTCAGTTATACAGCTATCTTTGAAAAGAGTCTCTCTTGTGACCTAGGCTGTGACTGTGGGTGGGTGTGTTTGGGTTAGGGCCAGTTATAGATGTTCTGGGTTCGTTGAAAGCTGTGTCGTCGTGTAGTGTAGAACACGCGACATCGGCGCTGATGTAATTGGAGGCAAGACAACGTGATACCACTCCCACGTAGAAGAGTCTGAGAAAGTATGAATAAAATGTCAACCAGTGTGTAAATAGGCCAGACACGTAAACAGGATTTAAAAAAAATTCATATTCATCTTTGGACCCATAAAAGCTGCAAACAGCTGGGAATGGAGAGTGAAAAGCAGTAACAAAATTTACAATCTGCTTAAATCACCATTGATCACTGGCATCATAAGAGCTAATATACTGAAATTACTAGGACATATTGAGGTAATGTCAGATGGCCGAGAGCTAAAAATTGTATACGCGAGGAAGCTGATTGGTCCTATGGCAGCGCGCCTGGTTTGCTAGGCAACTAGTAGTTTATGAGTGGTCGGGAACTTGGACAGTCATTCGCTGTTAGCCCCTCCCCACCACCCGCCCACCCCCCACCCCACCATTTTTTTCCGGGCCACCCCTGAAAAGTTGATCAAATGAATAAAATTGTAAAGCTGTATCCCTAACCACGTAGAGACCTCCTGCTTTTGAAGTATTTGCTTGCACATTTTATATGATTTAACTATAAGTTATAAATTGGATTATCTTCTCAGCACTCCGGACACATCCAAAGGCGCTCAGATTCCCCTCTCAGCATATTCATCAGCGTCACGCGATTATTTCATTATATCATTGTTCTGTTTGTCATTTGGCACATTTACTATTTTTACACCTTAAAACCAGGCTTAACTTGTTCTTGTTCCACCCCTCAAAATGTATCTACAAAACGCAATGTAAATTCAATACAACGCTAACAACAAAAATAATAATAATAATAATAATAATAATAATAGTAATAATAATAATAATAATAATAATAATAATAATAATAACAATAAAAATAATAAGTGTTAAGCTCCTGAATAAAAATGTAATAAACAGAGAAATTAACAAATGAAATGTTACCATTAACTACTGCAATGGATCAACTTCTCGACTATACAAAGATGCTCCCACTGACCTTTCATTCAGTGTGACAGTTTCTGTTATTATCACAAGAAAACTGTTTACACAAAATAAACTTGAATCTAAAGTTGTGACGTAAATACTATTTTGCTGACGAAGATTTCGGTAGAAACGTTAGGTTGAATTCGTGCACTAATTTTGGATTTCTCCCAAAATGCTTTTAAGAGGCGTTTTAAATTATTTATAATTTAAACCCAGTATGATAACCAAGAGAAAATAGAAATGCATTGGCCATGTTATAGGAATGAATCCTGATATACCTACCAAAACAGCTCGCACTTGGACACCAGAGGGAAAGAGGCAGAAGGGAGGCTAAAAACAACCAGAAGTGGACGAACAACCAGAAATTTCCACCAGAGAGGTGAACTAGCTGGTGAACGCAAACAAGAAGAAGAAGAAGAAGAAGAAGAAGAAGAAGAAGAAGAAGAAGAAGAAGAAGATTGAGACCAACGATGGAAAGTGAACTGATTGCCACATCTCTGACATGAAAAACTACACTGAAGATTGCACAGGACAGGAATCACGGGAAGACCTCTCTGAAGCCTTATATGCCACTTGGTGGTAAAAAGAATTGATGATGATGATAATTTGAATCGACCATAGCTTGGTGCCTGCCTGCAGGATAAAATGCGGAAGGTGTTATTGGCAAACCAAACTAAATTATATATTTTGTCACTAAAAGATCAAAGCGTACAGGGAACACAAATTTAGAGTAATGTCCCTTGAATGAACAGGAAAACAGATCATTCAGAGTTGACCACCGGCCGACGGACAAAACAAACAGCCTGGGGAATCTAGCGTTTAACTAGAAACAACCCCGTACTAAATATGCACATTGTTCTCTTTAAGGCTGAAATACTGGGCTGATTGGGGTCTCCGAGAGAAAGCATGGGTTGGGGGTGGGAGTCAAGTGTGATCAAACCTTGTTCATGTGTACATTATTACTAAAACAAATTAGTAGTTGTAGTACTACTATTATAACAACAACACAACAACAACAAAAACTACTACTGCTACTACTGGCGCTACAACAACTACTCCTCGTCCTCCTCCTCCTCCTGCTACTACCACTACTACTACTACTACTACTACTACTACTACTACTACTACTACTACTACTACTACTACTACTACTACTACTACTACTACTACTACTACTGCTGCTGCTGCTACTTCTACTACTACTACTACTGCTGCTGCTGCTACTAATACTACTACTACTACTACTACTACTACTACTACTACTACTACTACTACTACTACTACTACTACTACTACTACTACTACTACTACTACTAATAATAATAATAATAATAATAATAATAATAATAATAATGATAATAATAATAATAATAATAATAATAATAATAATAATAATAATAATAATAATAATAATAATAATAATAATAATAATAATAATAATAATAATAACAATAATTTTTACTTCTCTTAGTTGCCAAAAGAAAATACATTATATTTTTAAAATAACTAAAAAATCTGTATGTGGGTTTCAGAGCTTCCTTGTGGGGTGGGGGTTGTGTGGGAGTGGGTAATAGGCCTATTGTCCTTTAACAAACATGTCGTTGGAGGCTACAAATTATGGGTATCTACTTCAAATTCAGAGTACATATGTCAGAGAGTGGAAGAACCAACAGTCTGTATACACATAAACTGATTCCGTAAAACAGACGTGCATGCAAAACTCAAAGCTCTGGAACAAGACAAAGGTCCAGAAGTGAACGATCAACCAGAACTTTTCGACCGAAGTTTAAATCTTTTGAACTCGAAGAAGAAGAAATAATCTTAAATCTATTACACAAATACTTTAAATGAGCACAATAAGATGATTCAGGAGACGACGTTGAATCGGCAACACTCAAAAGAAACTACAAGAACATCAGGTCAAAAGATGTGTCACCAGACATGAACACTATAAGGCTAGCCAACGAAGAATAGTAAACCAACACAGAACTAGTGTTATCGGTCGCTACCTGCTGAGGAATATACTGAAGATGGGATCAGAGTGCTTATAGGTTTGTCCGATGTGCAATAGGGATAATTTTTTATTCATTATTCTCACTCACTCACTCACTCACTCACTCACTCACTCACTCACTCACTCACTCACTCACTCACTCACTCACTCACTCACTCACTCACTCACTCACTCACTCACTCACTCACTCACTCACTCACTCACTCACTCACTCACTCACTCACTCACTCACTCACTCACTCACTCAC